GAATTGCCTGAACCCAGGGAATTCAGGAGGTTGCCGTGAGCCAAGATCGCGCCATTGCACTCCAGCCTGGGTAACAATAAACTCTGTCTCAAAAAAAAAAAAAGAATACAGCTAACAAAGTGAAGAGACAACCCAGAGAATGGGAGAAAATATTTGCAAATTACCCATATGACAGGAGACTAATAACTAGAATACATAAGTAGCTCAAACAACTCTATAGGAAAAAAAATCTAATAATCTCATCAAAAAATGGGCCAAACATTTGACTAGACATTTCTCAAAAGAAGACATGCAAATGGCAAAGAGGTATTTGAAAATGTGCTCAACATCGCTGATCATCAGACAAAGGCAAATTAAAGCTACCATGAAAGCAACCTAAGTGCTTACCAACAGACGGATATAGAAAATGTGGTACATATACACAATGAAGTACTATTCAGCCATAAAAAGAATGAGATCCTATCATTTACAACAACAAGGATGGAAATGGAGATCATTATGTTAAGCAAAATAAGCCAGGCACAGAAAGACAAATTTCACATGTTCTCACTTACTTGTGGGAGCTAAAGATCAAAACAATAGAACTCAAAGACAGAGAGTAGAAGGATGGTTACCAGAGGCTGGGAAGAATAGTGTGGGAGAAGGGGGATGTAAGGATGATTAATGGGTATAAATAAATTACTTACAAATAATAAGATCTACTCTTTAATAGCACAACAGGGTGACTGTAGTCAATAATTATATATTTAAAAATAACTAAGTATATATTTAAAAATAAGTATAATCAGACTGTTTGTAAAATAAAGGATAAATGCTTGAGGGGATGGATACCCCATGCGCTATGATGTGATTATTTCACATTGCATGCCTGTGTCAAAATATCTCAGATACCCCACAAATATATATACCTATTATGAATCCATTAAAAATTAAAAATAAAAAAAATTTTAAAAAAACAACCATACTACCCAAAGCGATCTACAGGTTCAATGCAATTCTTTTGAAAATACCAATGTCATTTTTTCACAGAATTAGAAAAAACAATTCTAAAGTTCATATGGAAAAAAAAGGAACCTAAATAGGCTGGGCTAGGTGGCTCACCCTATAATCCCAACACTTTGGGAGGCCGAGGCGGGCAGATCATGAGGTCAAGAGTTCCAGACCAGACTGGCCAACATGGTGAAACCCCATCTCTACTAAAAAATACAAAAATTAGCTGGGGATGGTGGCTTGTGCCTGTAATCCCAGCTACTTGGGAGGCTGAGGTAGGAGAATTGCTTGAACTGGGACCTGGGAGGTGGAGGTTGCAGTAAGCCGAGATCACACCACTGCACTCCAGCCTGGGCTACAAAGCGAGACTCCATCTCAAAAAAAAAAGAACCTAAATAGCCAAAGGTATCCTAAGCAAAAAGAACAAAGCTAGAGGCATTATACTGTCTGACTTAAAATTATACAAGGTATAGCAATCAAAACAGCATGGTACTGGTATTAAAATAGATACACAGATCAATGGAACAGAATAGAGAACCTAGAAATAAAGCCATATACTTAACAGCAAACTGATTTTTGAAAAGCCAACAAGCACATTCACTAGGGAAAAGACATCCTTTTCAATAAATGGTTCTGGGAAAACTGGACTGGCACAGGTAGAGGAATAAAACTGGATCCCTATCTCTCATCATACACAAAAATCAACCCAAGACGGTTAAAGACTTGAATATAAGACCTGAAACTCATGACTAAGGCCTCAAAAGCAAAGGCAACAAAAATAAAATAGACAAATGGGAGTTAAACAAAAAAGCTTCTGCACAGCAAAAGAAATAATCAAGAGTCAATAGCCTGCAGAATGGGAGAAAATATCTGCAAACTATATAACCAACAGGGGACTAACATCCAGAATTAATAAGAAACTCAGACAACAACAACAAAAACCCAAATAATCCCATTAAAAAGTGGGGCAAGGACATGAATAGACATTTTTCAAAAGAAGAAAAATGGCCAACAAACATATGAAAAAATGTTCACTATCACTATCAGCAGAGAAATGCAAATTAAAACACAATGAGGGTCGGCATGGTAGCTCACGCCTGTAATCCCAGCACTTTGGGAGGCTGAGGTGGGCGGATCACCTGAGGTCGGGGGTTCAAGACCAGCCTGCCCAACATGGAGAAAACCTGTCTCTACTAAAAATACAAAATGAGCCAAGTGTGGTGGCACATGCCTGTAATCCCAGCCACTCGAGAGGCTGAGGCAGGATTATTACTTGAACCCAGGAGGCAGAGGTTGCGGTGAGCCAAGACGGTGCCACTGTACTCCTGCCTGGGCAACAAGAGTGAAACTCCATCTCAATGACAACAACAACAAAAATCACAGTATCTTTCACCAATCAGAATGGCTATTATTAAAAATACAACAACAACAAAAAAAGATAACACGTTGGAGAGAATAGGGAGAAAAGGGAATTCTTACTCTTGGTGGGAAGGAAAATCAGCACAATCTCTCTAGAAAATAGTGTGAAAATTTCTCAAAGAACTAAAACTACCAAATGATCTAGCAGTTCCACTGCTGGGTATCTGCCCAAAGGAAAAGAAATCATATCAAAAAGATACCTGTACTTTTATGTTTATCACAGCACTACTCAGAGTAACAACTATGGAATTAAGCTAAATTAGGAATAAAGAAAATGGGCTGGGCGTGGTGGCTCACGCCTGTAATCCTAGCACTTTGGGAAGCTGAGGTGGGTGAATCACCTGAGGTCAGGAGTTCAAGACCAGCCTGGCCATCATGGTGAAACCCCACCTTATTAAAATAAAAAAAGGAAAGAAAATGTGGCATGGAATGGTACACAATGAGTACTATTCAGCCATAAAAAAGAATGAAAACACGTGTTTTGCAGCAACATGGATGGAACTGGATGCCATTATCTTAATTGAAACAAACAGATAAATGCCATATGTTCTCACTTGTAAGTGGGAGCTACATAATGTGTACAAATGGAAGCATAGTGTGGAATGAAGACTCAGAGGGGGAGAGTGGAAGGGTAGATGAAGGGAGGCTGCTTGGTGGTTATAATGTGCACTGCTCCAGTGACAGATACACTGAAGGCCCTGACTTCACCACAATGCAATTTATCAACCTAGCAAAACTGCACTTACACCTCATGAATATACACAAATTGAAAAATAAAAGTATTACTCCGATAGACGTGTTGCCAATAGTCCATGGGGAGCAAGAGCAGCAGAAGGGAGAAAGTGAAGAAGCTATTGCAGTCACTACTGAGATCATCCAGGGTGACCCGGACCAGGTGATAGCATAGTGGAGTAACTAATTACTTGGAAAGCTGCCCCACATTCCTAAAAGTCAGTGCTAAGCTGATTGTATTTTTTCTAAAAGGTTATCACAATATTCTAGAATCAATATGGGAAATGACATCCTTCTGAGGTCTGAACCATGTCCCATTTACAAAGTGTACGGCTCTTTGAGTAGCGTCATGTAAGTGTGAATCATTCTATTACAGATTTTAAAAAGATGTCCATTAAAAATAACCTTGGCCAGGCCCAATGGCTCACGCCTATAATCCCAACACTTTGGGAGGCCGCGGTGGGCAGATCACTTGAGTTCAGGAGTTTGAGATTGGCCTGGCCAACATGGCGAAACCCTGCCTCTACTAAAAATATAAAAATTATCCAGGGCATGATGGCAAACGCCTGCAATCCCAGCTACTCGGGAGGCTGAGCCAGGAGAATCATTTGAACCTGGGAGGCAGAGGTTGCAGTGAGCTGAGATTGCGCCACTGCACTCCAGCCTGGGTGACAGAGCAAGACTCCATTTCAAACAAACAAAATAACCTTACTATGGCTGGGCAAGGTAGCTCACACCTGTAATCTTAGAACTTTGGGAGGCCGAGGTGGGTGGATCACCTAAGGTCGGGAGTTTGAGACCAGCCTGACTAAGATGAAGAATCACCCATCTCTACAAAAAATACAAAATTAGCAGGACATGGTGCTGCATGCCTGTAATCACAGCTACTCGGGAGGTTAATGGAGAATTGCTTAACCCCAGGAGGAGGAGGTTGTGGTGAGCCAAGATCCTGCCACTGCACTCCAGACTGGGCAACAGTCTCAAAAAAAAAAAAAAAAAAAAAAAAAAAACTTAAAACCCTTTTTTATTAGATACATAATAAAAAAATAAAAATAGTATAAATAATTTGCCAAATAAAATGAGATTCCACTAGTTAGCCTGAAGATCATAGAGGAAAATACTTTTCTGAGTTGTTAAAGGTAGAATAACTGACGTTACCTTTTCTGGAGAGTGACACTATACATCAAAACATATTTGTAACTATATGTTATTATGAATAATTAAAAGTTAAACAACATTATACATCATAAAGCTGTTTTAAAAATCACAAACTTCTGACTTAGCAATTCTATGCCTAGGACATGTCTTAAGGAAAACTACAAAAGATTTATGTGCAAAGAGTCTCATCACACAGAGCTGTCAAAAATATGTAGTTTAAAGTGTACTAGGGAAACTATGTAATGAACTGAATTGTATTTAATTTCTCGGTTGACAAAGAAAAGTGTCCAAAATATGTTACGTGAATTAAAAGGTTACAATTTATAAGTTAGTCATCAATTTTGAAAATGGGAATAGGGGATATGAACATAGGCACCGAATGTCTGAAAGTTAATAAGGATATATATAGATAAAACAAGATTGGCTAGGAACTGACATTACTGAATATGGGTGATGGGTACCCAAAGTGGGATAAGGTGACAGAAGGACTGTTTCATTATCACGATTACCATTCTTTCTACTTTTGTAAGTATAAACTTTTCCATAATAAAAGGTTTTTTAAAATGTGAAAAAATATTCACTAAACTGTTGTGTCAATGTGGGTATAGAATTATAGATGTTTTACTTTTGCATAACTAAGTCCAAATTCTCATTCATTCTCCCAGTCACTTCAAAATAGCATTGAAACAAGTTTAACTTACCACCCAACAAGCATTTCCAAGATCAGCAATCTTCACCTTGAGCTTTTCTGCATTTTTTGGCTCAAGGGGATTAACAAGAAAATTTCCAGCCGCAGATTTTCCTACAGACAACAGGCATCATCAATAAGACTGTTCAATGAACAGAGAAATAGTAAGTAATAAAGCTCTTCAAGGTAAAAGTAATACAGTCAGTAATACCCAAATGACAACTTACAATACATTGTCTAAGACAAAAAGAGCACAGTAACACCTTGAGTTTCTACAATTAAAAACCTCTGCCCTCATAGCAACAAATGAAATGCTATGTACCCAGTACATGATGAATAAACTTCAAAGTTAGCTACAGATTAAAATTTAAAGGTAACTTAGACACCTGTTGTAAAGCTATAGTAACAAAAACAATACTTTTAGTCTAGAGATATATGAATATGTTGTACAGGGAAGGAGTGTTGAGGAAGTATAGCTGCATAGGTACCTTTGTTGTCCAGTGGTCCATTATGTTCTTGCTCTTGTTCATCTTCACAGGGTATCTCTGCCCGAATGCTTTCTTGAAGTTGGCTAATATGTTGTTCACTGAATGACTGATCTATAGTTGAGGAAGACTGGCACACCATGGTATCCGACACCTCGGAAGTTATAGGTGTACAAGAGTCTGTTTCTTGAGATGTGCTGCTGTCTCCATTTTGGGAGCTTAGGAAACTAGGTTCCTGCTTCAACTTTTCTGCATCACAGTCATTAGCATTATGTAGATCCTCTTTATGTCTCAATGTTTCATTATTACTGTTCTGAGTATAATTAATGACTTCAATTACTCCATTGCAATTAATTTCTGCTGCACCACCCTCTGTATCACGTTCCATAAGTGTTTGATCCTGGCCAATGGTATTTGACTCTTCTAAGGAACAAATGAACAAAAAAACATGTATGTGTATGTGTGTGAGTGAAAGAACAGAAACATTTATCACAATATTAAAACATTTTCTAGAACTTATAGTGAGTGACATAATAACAAGACTAAACATCTAAAACCTATTTCTGGAAGGGCCACGATCTTATTTTTACCCAATTGTTAAATGAAATCTATGTTCCATTTCCTGAGAAAAGTTACAAATTACATTTAAATATTACCTGCCTAACATGACAAGATCCATATTCTTATAAAGGTACCCCCAGAGATAAGTGTTGTATGTATGAAACAATGTATTATGTAACAATGATAAATTAATGTTAAAAGTGTGTTGTAATTTTTGTTATGTTCTATTTATACCAAGTTTTTCTTGGGTCATTTTATTAGGTGGGTTCTCTTTCAAGGGTCTTTCAACAGGACTCTCTGATTCTTCTTGCTTGTTTGGTCTTTTTTGCCCAGGGCCCGACTCTTTCTCCATTTCCTCAATTTCCTGCATTCGCTTCTCTAGTAATTCTGCCTGGCGCTTCTGCTTCTTCTTCAGTTTCTTCTTCTTATTCTTTGACATTTTGTCAGCCTGGGCGGAGATTACAAACAGATAAAGCCTTCAGGTGGCTAATTAATTACCCCCAGTTAGAGATACCTGTTAACTTTAATTACTTCCTAATTAAATTTCACAAATCTTTCCCTAACATAGCACTTGAGTCTTTCATTCAATTAAAAGATGTGGGATACTCTTATAAACTCAAATAAAATCAAATACATAACAAAGTGTGGTCTTCTGAGCAGTCTGTGGGGCTGGTTTACACTCAGACAAGCTCAAAATTTTTAGAGGCCTCACCAGTACAAACTTGATGAAGGTGCATGGGAATTTACTGGAGAAAATTACAGAAGCGCAGGAATTTTTTTCCCTTTGGTTCCCCAACTTGAAACAAACTGTTACCATTCACAACAGAAGAACCACACCCATAGCCCATAGATCAAAATTAAATATAGAAACACCTTATACTTACTGGTTTAGGTTGGGGAGCAGTACTGACTGAAAAGAAAAGAAAACCAAGTAAGAATTCTGGCATTCATTAGGCAATATAAGGCTCAGATAAAACACTCTACCAGAATGAAAAGTCTTTCTTATGTAGCCTACACTGGAGAGAAAACTATTGTTTTTAAATGACTTAAGTAGAAACCATATTATTATCATTTTAAAAGAAAATAATGCATAATAGAAACTGCCAAACTTAAAAAAAAAAAAAGATAAATAAAATTCTTCCCCAGGTAGCATCAATAAGTGCAAAGAGCCAAGTTCCCATTTCTGGTTTCCACTACTAAAGCTGCTAAGATCACCTATTTTCCATTCCCATGCACTGCTTAAAATAGAAAGGGACAAGCAACAATCTCTTCACCTCCACCTACTCAGAACCTGTCAGTTTTAAAAGGGGAGTCTAGGTGACATCAAGAGCTATAGTAATTTGCTCTATATCACGTAATGGATAATACTGTAGCTTAGCTGGAAAGGTAGGATCTTCAGTCTTCCTCTTTTAAAAATATTTGTATAAGCAGGGTGCAATGGCTCACTCCTGTAATCCCAGTACTTTGGGAGGCTGAGGTGGGCAGATCACGAGGTCACTAGCTTGACCAACAGAGTGAAACCCTATCTCTACTAAAAATACAAAAATTAGCCAGGCGTGGTGGCTGGCTACCAAGGAGACTGAGGCAGGAGACTCACTTGAACCCGGGAGGCAGAGGTTGCAGTGAGCTGAGATCGTGCCACTGCACTCCAGCCTAGCCAACAGAGTAAGACTCTGTTTCAAAAAAAAAAAAAAAAAATTGTATAAAAACAGTGTTTAAAAAAACACACACACACATTAAAAATTTATACTCTGGGTAAGCATACAGTTCAAGTGGTTTTAACATTATTCACACTGTTGTATAACAGGATCTGCAGAATGTTTTCATCTTGTAAAATGGAAACTACATCCATTCAACAACCAATTCCCCATTTCCCCTTTCTTTAGTCTTACTTTTTAAAGGAAGTGCATAACTAATATTTCAATTTGAGGATTAAGCAAACTCCTCAAAAATGACACACTATTAAAACTAAAATCTGTACCTCAAAAGAAAAAAATCATAAAGCAGCCATAATTTACTTATTTATGTATTTAGTTTTAGGTCTTGAGACAGAGAGTCTCGCTCTATTGCCTAGGCTGAAGTGCAGTGGCACTATCACGCCTTGCACCTTGACCCCCTAGGCTCACGCAATCCTCCTGTCCCAGCCTCCCGAGTAACTGGACTACAGGCATGCACCGCCATGCCTGGCTAATTTTTTAAATTTTTGTACAGACGGGGGTCTTACTATGCTGCCTAGACTGGTCCCAAACTCCTGGGCTCAAGTGATCCTCACACCTCAGCCTCCCAAAGTGTTGGGTTACAGGCATGAGCCACTGTGCCAGGTCCCATAATTTATTTAGTATATAATATTGTGTGGCACACTACTAACTGCTTTACCATTTAATCCCAGTAATTCCCAGTTGAAGAAAAATAAAGTAAATTAACTCAATTAAGGTCTCTCAATCTAGGATGAAGCCCAAATTCAAACCAGATCTGTCTACTCCAGTATTTAAAGGAAGCTCTGAAGAGCAATGTTATCTTGCTCCTGTATAGACTACCAGTCCTATAAATGAGCATGTGTGATCAAAGTAAGAGGTAAACACTTCAAAAGTCATCAAATCTTAAGAAAAAATATTTTTAAGCAATACACACCAGCTTTTGTAACATACAACAATAAGGATACAACATAAGGATACAACAATATCTAGTTTTTCTCCTTCCCATATGAAAGTAATTCTGAGAAAGTCTTTCGGAGGCTGATAATGTTTTTTAAATATGATTGGGTGGTGTTTAATTCCCTGGTAACAGAATAAAAATAGAAATTTCTTTTAATTTCTAATGAGAGCAAAGTCCCTAAAAGAAAATATACCTGCAGATCCAGAAGGCGGAGGAGCTCCAGATCGCTGCCATTCTGTTGCTTCTGCAGCCAGCCTCCGAATGTACTGTTCATTCACTGACAATAAGATGTTCTCTGGTTTAATGTCAGTATGGATGATACGGCACTTGGTGTGTAAATAATCAAGACCCTGTAACACCTGAATAAAAATAGAGTGGCAGACTTGCAAACACAAAAAACAGGTTTTCTGGAGAAATACAAGATTATTACACGACATTAAAAAAAAAAAAAAAGAAGACATGATAGCGTTTTCTCTGGAGAATAAAAGTACCTTTTAAAAAAAGCACAAACTTTCCCAGAAAGATTAAACTATGAAAAAGGCAAGTATTTATTTACAATAAAAAATTCCTCAATGTTTTACAAAGCTAATTCTGTTTGGAGATATTCTTCAACTATATACATTATGAAGAACATTCAACACACCCTCTAAGTGTTGAAATGTAGGTGATGGCAGAGATTTAGATATCTTTAATTCAAATTTCCTCACTGATGAAGAACTGAGGTCTGCTGCTGCCCAGTTTGGAGCTCCTTCCACAACACATTATCCAAACAAATTTCTGCCCCTTGAAGTATTAATATTTTCCTGATGGTAAAATTCTATACCGTATATTGAAGGCTCTTTAGAAAATTAGAAAATGCCCATGAATCATGCTGTATAAAGAGATGGCAATAATCTGACATAGCAATTATCTATTCATGTAAAATTACTATTTACAACTTCTGGATAAGGGCTCCCAATGTTCCCAAGTCAGACAACTCAGCTTCACCTTCTAATTAATATAGGAGGCAAACCTGGGGGAAAATGGTTATGCTAAAACATTTAAAAACAGAATAAGCAAAATAAACTTTAAAGATTGAATGCAATATTTAATTTTAGGAATTAAAAATAACTTACTTTTTTTTCTGAGACTGAGTCTTGCTTTGTCACCCAGGCTGGAGTGTAGTGGCGCAATCTCAGCTCACTGCAACCTCCGCCTCCTGGGTTCAAGATTCTCCTGCCTCAGCCTCCCAAGTGAGTAGCTGGGATTACAGGCGTATGCCACCACACCCAGCTAATTTTTGTATTTTTAGTAGAGACGGGGTTTTGCCATGTTGGTCAGGCTGGTCTCGAACTCCCGACCTCAGGTGATCTGCCCGCCTTGGCCTCCCAAAGTGCTGGGATTACAGGCATGAGCCACAGTGCCCGGCCAGTAACTTACTTTTTAAAACAAAAATTCAACTGGAAAAAATAAACTCCTGACACTTTAAGAATATTACACCATCACTGCATAGTCAAGACTAAGATACATACTTGCTGAATAATTTTTTTGACACAAGGCAGTGGAAGCCCCTGATAATTGGACTTGATGATCCACTTGAGCAGATGATGCCCCAAAACTTCAAATACCATGCAGATATCTAGGAGTTAATTAAGGAGGGAAAAAAAGCACAAAAGAACAGGGCAAGACAATCTGTGAATTACACCCTATTAAAATGTTATGTATTTTCTTTCAGTATAATAAGTTATAGAGGTTGAATGAATAAATATATAGCTGTCAATCCTCTAAAATTTCAAAGTCTAATGCAACAGCCAACGAAAGCAATCATGAAACAGAAAGTTGTGGGGGCTGGCTTATCAATATTATTATGTACATTAAAATAATGGTAAAAGAAAAAGTAAAACTTACATATGCAAATAGTGAAAGAAAGCACTAGGCTGATGCTGTTGATTCTATTCATGTAAATTAGTTTCTTCCCCAATAACAAAATTAGTGTCCAGGGTAAAAATTTCCACTCTCACAGTTTCAAAGCAAGGAAAAACAAATTCTTCCTTAACTACAGAAGAGATGATACAAGACCTAACCTCAAAAACACAAATGCGAACATTTTTTAAAATAGGAAACAAACTTGCTTTATGCTCTGTAGTTTAGAAAACTAAACTTGATTCCAGTGCCACCACGTGTTATCCTTATGTACCAACAACCTGACCGCCCCACACAGTAGGAATACTCTTTGGGTCTAATATTGTGCAGGGCATTACAGGGATTTTGATGTCTTCCACCCCCACTAGCTTCTACATGCAAGTCAAGACATACATATATGTAATGTCCTAGTGCTCAGACTTGAAGATTCTCCATTAAAGGAAAGACTGAGTTCCTTGGAAAAATGGCTAAATCTAAGGAGGAAAAATACAAGGTAAACTTGGAACACCCTGCTGTGCCAACAAATAAGAGAACACGTCAAGAAGAAAGAGGAACCATCTTGAAGAGGATGTCACCAGCCAATGTGGAGGCCATTTTAAAGAATAAAGTTATGAGTTAATATATCAATTAAAAACAGAACAAGTCCATACTGATCCGAAAATGTGGAGGAAGAGAAACATTTTTTTGGGGCGGAGTCTTGCTCTGTCACCCAGGTTGGAGTGCAGTGGTGTGATGTCAGCTCACCGAAACCTCTGCCTCCCGGGTTCAAGCGATTCTCCTGCCTCAGCCTCCTGAGTAGCTGAGATTACAGGTGCATGCCACCATGCCCAGTTAATTTTTTATATTTTTAGTAGAGAAGGGGTTTCACCATGTTGGTCAGACTGGTCTCGAACTCCCGACCTCGGGTGATCCACAAGCCTCAGCCTCCCAAAGTCCTGGGATTACAAGCATGAGCCACCACGCCCGGCTGAGAAACATCTTCTTTAGAGAAGAAAGCCAAATTATAAATATATAAGGTATTACAGAAATAAAAAAATCACCAATTTACAATCACTATAGTATACTATTACTGATTCAGGTAGGAATCAGTGAATACTAAAACGACTATGTGAAAGACTGTTGGGAAAAGGGATTTTCACAGTGCCAAAATATCATTCCACAGGCTGCTTATTAATTACAAAAAGAATAAAATACCTTTACAACTGAGATATCTGGAAGGCACTGCCTTAACCAAGTGATCAAACTTATTACCACCAATGATAAGCACAAATTCATATCATGTGCCTTCTAATGTATAATCCATGTAGTATGCTTGACAAACACGGTTAACTTGAATTTAATCATGAGGGAACAGTCAAACAAATCCAAACTAAGATGGCATAAAACAACTAGCTTTGCCGGGCGCGGTGGCTCAAGCCTGTAATCCCAGCACTTTGGGAGGCCGAGGCGGGTGGATCACGAGGTCAAGAGATCGAGACCATCCTGGTCAACATGGTGAAACCCCGTCTCTACTAAAAATACAAAAAATTAGCTGGGCATGGTGGTGCGTGCCTGTAATCCCAGCTACTTAGGAGGCTGAGGCAGGAGAATTGCCTGAACCCAGGAGGCGGAGGTTGCGGTGAGCCGAGATCGTGCCATTGCACTGCAGCCTGGGTAACAAGAGCGAAACTCCGTCTCAAAAAACAAAACAAAACAAAACAAAAAAAAACAAAAACAACTAGCTTGGATTCCAAAAAAAAAAAAGTCAATGTCATAAATGTTCCAAATTACGTAAGATTAAAGGTACTTTGAAAACCTCAAACACGGATCAAAAGTACAATATGATAGCATCTCAAACTGACAAATGAATAAAATAAAGAAAAAATAAACATCACCAAATGTAAGTGAGGTTGTGGAACAACTAGAACTCTCGTATTATGCTAGCAGAAGTCTAAAATGGTACAAATACTTTGGAAAACTGCTCGGCAAATTTTTTTTTTTTTTTGAGATGGAGTCTCGCTCTGTTCCCCAGGCTGCAGTGCAGTGGCGCAACTTGGATCACTGCAATCTTCGCCTCCCGGTTCAACCAATTCTCTACCTCAGCTTCCCAAGTAGCTGGGATTACAGGTGTCTGCCACCAGGCCCAGCTAATTTTTGTATTTTTAGTAGAGACAGTGTTTCACCATCTTGGCCAGGCTGATCTTGAACTCCTGACCTCGTGATCTAATTGTTTGTATTTTTGTATTACAGGCGTGAGCCACCACGTCCAGCAGCAAATTCTTATAGATAAAACCCATGAAAGGCTGGGCATGGTGGCTCAAGCCTGTAATCCTAGCAATTTGGGAGGCCAAGACAGGTGGATCCCTTGAGCCTACGAGTTTGAGACCGGCCTGGGCAACACAGTGAAACCCCATCTCTACAAAAAAATCCAAAAATTAGTCAAGTATGGTGGCGTGTGCCTGTGGTCCTTGCTACTCAGGAGGCTAAGGTGAGGGGAACACCTAAACCCAGAAGGTCAAGGCTGCAGTGAGCCAAGATCATGCCACTGCACTCCAGCCTCAGTGACAGAGACCCCATCTCAAAAACAAAACACAACACAATAAACAAAAAACTTCAGCACCTATCAAATTTTCTGCTTTAGCCAAAATGAAGTGACAGGGACTGAATTTATCTTATTGAGAAAACAATACCCAAACAGACCAAATTCAAAAACAATAGAAGATTCTGGACATCAGGCAACATGTACAGTGATCCCTGAAAAAAGGAAACAAGAGCTGAACCCTGGGAATGCCCCATCTTATTGCCTTGAGACTTCCTAGGTAGACTCCACAAGATGAATCAATGGGAGGTAAGCGTCTTGGGGAGACCAAGGCAGCTATAATCCAGTGAACAAGGTACTAGAGAGGAGAGAGCTGCAGAAAGAGTGAAATTTAGAGATTTGCAGAGGGGCCCCCCTCAAGGATACGGCAAAGCACATGTGTATGAGTATGAGGAAACGGGAAGAGGCAGAGAAGAAAAAATAACCTTAAAGGATTAGAGAGAACAATGCCCAGCTTTTGCATAGGGCTTGGCAAAAGTGCCTGCTCCAAGCAAAGAGACTAGAAAAATTCAGTCACAGGGTATTGGGTCGGATATATTTGGGAAAGTCTTGCCTCAGCAGAGGGAATGATTAGCCCTGGACTGAGCAATGCTTTGGATCCATATAAAAGGACAAAACACTTTCCAAGTAACAAAACAGCATCCCAGAACAAGGCTCAAGAAGATTTACAGAAATACAAAACATCCAGCAGCCAACAAGGTAAAGTTTACAATGTGATTACCAGGCAATAAAAAATATTTGAAATTAAAATAATCAATCATATGAAACTGACTCAGAACCATCACAGATGTTAGAATTAGACAAGGACATTAAATGGTTAATACAGCTGTATTCTACATGATCAAAAAATTAAGTGGAGACATGAAAGGTATTTGTTAAAGGACTGAAAATGAACTTACAGAGACAAAAAGTGCAATGTGAGATAAAAACACACTGGATGGAATAAATGGCAGATTAGATATTACAGAATAAAAAGATTAGTGAACTTGATGGCACAGCAACAGAATTAGTCCAAAACAAAAACAGTTTGGAAAAATAATCCAAACAAATCCACACATCCACAAAACAATAAGCTGTGGGGGCAACTCTAGTGGCTCCCAAAAAGGGAAGAGAGGAAGGAGGTGAAAATATGGCTTTTTGCAATGAATCAACAAATTACGAAAGTAAAGATACACCCAGTAGCAAAGTATACCGCTAAGTGCTTAGATTCTGGATGTCATTTCCCAGCAAAAGGAATTAGGACTTCTTAGAGGAAAACTGATTCTAGATTTAAGACAGGAAACTCACAAGGTGAGCCCAGAACATCTTGATGCCAGGTAATAAACTGCCAAAATCTCATATGGATCCTGACTCAAGTAAGAATCACAAACTAGAAAAGATTCTAAGAAGGTGGTGGAGTAGGAAGCCACCAGAAATCTGTTTCCCCACCTAGACAACCAATGCAGTGGCAGAATCGGTCTGATGTGATTATTTAGAAACTCTGGAGTCTACTGACAGCTCACAACTTTTAGGAGAAGGGGCTTAGATAATAAATTATTGTAAATTTTGGTCAATCTCAGCTCTTAGCACAGTGGCACCCACCTATCCCCTAATCCTATAGTAAGCAGCCCTGCCTATAGTTTGTTGGAGCCAGAGTGGGTAAAAAGGATCCTGTCCTAAGTATCAGAGAGGCAGGTGGCTATTTCTGTACCTGCCCTCCATTGTTTTAAACCCCTCCTCTGGCTGAAGTGATGTTGCAAGGATTTAAAAGGCCAGTGCCCATTTCCTCTCCTTCTTTCCTTTTCCACTTTGGGAGCCAGACATTAAGACTATGATGTTCATGGCCAGGTGTGGTGGCTCACACCTGTAATCCCAGCACTTTGGGAGGCCAAGGTGGGCAGATTACTTGAGGCCAGGAGTTTAAGACTAGCCTGGTCAACATGGTGAAATATCGTCTCTACTGAAAATACAAAAATTACCCAGGCATGGTGGTGTGCACCTGTAATACTACCTATACAGGAGGCTGATGCAGGAGAATCGCTTGAACCCAGGAAGTGGAAGTTGCAGTGAGCTGAGATTGTGCCAAAGCACTCCAGCCTGGGTGATAAAGAGAGACTGTGTCTCTAAATAAATAAATAGCCTAGGACATTCAAAAGCAA